CACCCAATGCGGTATCCGGCTTTTCAGATGGTAGTTTTTTAGTAAGTAATGATGCCAATAAGCAAGGCAATATTTTTGAGATACTCTTTAAACAAAAGAAAGCAAAGGTCATCTATTGGAAAAATGGAACAGCTTCTTATGCAGATGCAAAAGTTTGTTACGGAAATGGCATTTTAGCCAATGGAAATACTATTTATCAAGCGTCTACAATGCCCGGAGAGGTTTACCAATACTCCTTTTCAAACGGGAAGTTGAGTAACAAAACAACAATTGCTAAAGTAAAAGGAGCCGATAATATTCGTTTAGACGGAAATAATCTGGTAGTAGCCTGCCATTTGAAATTTGGAAAGTTCCTAAAACACATGAAAAACAGTAAGGAAAAATCACCAACTGCAATTTTCACTATAGACAAAGATTCGCGCGAATCTAATTTGCTGTATTACAATTCAGGTGAAGTTATTAGTGCTGCTTCAACTGGATTGATTTACGATCATAAACTTTACATAGCACAAGTATTCGACAATTTTATCCTTGAAGTGAACCTTGATTGTCACCCGAAAAAATAAAGCATGTACCGATCCATTAATCCATATACCAACGAGCTGCTAAAACAGTTCTCGTTTTCATCTTTTCCTGATATACAACGCTCCGTAAAAGCACAAAAGGAGTGGAGTGCATTTAACATTAAAGAAAGAGGTGCATTCCTTCGTATTGTAGCGGAAAACATTCAATCTAAGCGCGATGAGTTTGCTCGTTTGATTACTGCTGAAATGGGTAAACCGCTTCGCGAAGCATACTATGAAATCGACAAAACCCTAACCGCTTTTGATTATTACATTCCGAATGCTGAACAACATTTAGCCAAGGAGTTTGTACAAACCAATGCTTCAAAAAGCTACATTTCATTTGAGCCGTTAGGTGTTATACTATCGATTATGCCATGGAATTTCCCTTTTTGGCAAGTGTTTCGTTTTGCTGTGCCTTCCTTGATGGCCGGTAATGTTACTATATTGAAACATGCCCCAAACGTACCGCAATGTGCTGACGCTATTCATCAATTATTTGAAGATGAACGTTTGCCAAAAAACTTGTTAGTAAATTATCGCTTAACGAATGAAGATGTTGCCAAGCTCATAGCAAGGTCAGAGGTTTCAGGTGTAACCTTTACAGGTAGCGATACCACCGGAAGTATAATTGCCGGATTAGCCGGAAAAAACATCAAAAAGTGTGTGGTAGAATTGGGAGGAAACGATCCATTTATTGTACTCGATGATGCAGATTTGGATTTAGCGATTGCCGGAGCTATTAAATCGCGTTCCATCAACTCAGGTCAATCGTGCAATGCGGCTAAACGATTTATTGTAACAGAAAAGAACTATTCCCAGTTTATCGAAAAACTAGCTAATGCTGTTAATGCATTAAAAGTTGGCAATCCAATGAAAGAAGATACAAACATTGGACCTATTGCCCGAAACGATTTAGCTGAAAAAGTTCGTGCACAAATATCAAAAACAGTTGCTCAAGGGGCGAAGTCCATTACTAATCCTTCATCTATACCATCTGAAAGCAATTTTGTCGCACCAACCATTCTCACTGATGTTACTTCAACAATGTGTGCTTTTCAAGAAGAAATCTTTGGTCCTGTATGGACTGTTATCAAAGCAAATTCCACTGCTCATGCTATTGAACTAGCCAATGACACAGTGTTTGGACTTGGAGCTTCCATTTGGACGGCCGATGAAAATGCAGGAGAGGAGCTTGCTCCACAATTGCAAAGCGGTAACGTATTTATCAACGATATCGTGAAATCTGACGCTCGTTTGCCTTTTGGCGGCATTAAGCGAAGTGGCTTCGGACGAGAACTCTCTGAATTCGGGTTGCGCGAATTTGTAAATATAAAGACCGTTTATATTCGTTAATCCTTTTGGATTACCTTGGTTTTTATTACTTTCGTGATAATGGAAGCAAAGGGTATATTTTATCTTTTTTTAGGTTTAGGCTATTTGGTTTATTCGCTTACAAAAAAGGCGAAAGCTCAACCTAAGAAAACAAATGCGCCTCAACCTAAAAAGCGTTCTACATTTGACGAAGCTATAGAAGATTTTAAATCAAAGCAACAGCAAATCAAGGATGCAGCTGTTGAAACTCAAAACAAAAAACCTACCAAACAAAAAGACATTTTCGTAAAAGAGAAAATTAATCCGGTTTTCGAAGAAGGTAAAAGCGTTTACAAAGTATACGAAGAAGCCTCTTTTACTGAAGGTGGCTCACAGATTCAATTTGTTGATGAAATGCCCGTTCAAGAAGAATCATCGGCTAATTTCAATCTAGATATCCGTTCTGGCATTATCAATTCCATCATTCTCGAGCGTAAGTTCTAATGAATAACGTTACTTACTTTTCTTTGTCTGAACTTCACGCTCACCTTCAATCCATTGCTCCAAAATATTCCAAGATTGTTTGTATTGCTGATTCCAATACGATTTTACACTGTTTCTCGAGATTAGAGGTCAATGCGAATTGTATTATAATTCCGGCAGGTGAGGAATACAAAAACATGTCCTCTTGTATTTCCATTTGGGAGCAACTTACTGTATTAAATGTTGATCGAAATGCACTAATTCTCTCTTTGGGAGGAGGAATGATTACAGATTTAGGTAGTTTTGCGGCTTCTTGTTTTAAACGAGGAATTGCACATATTAATATTCCTACTTCTCTTTTAGGCATGGTAGATGCTTCAGTTGGTGGTAAAACAGGTATTGATTTCATGGGGTTTAAAAATCACATAGGTGTATTTGATACTACTTGTGAGACATACATTTGCAGTGAATTACTGAGTACATTGCCTTCTCGTGAACTGAATAGCGTATGGTCAGAAATTGTTAAACATTATCTTATTTATGATGCTGATGCATTCCAAGCATTTGCAAAGCTTGATTCCAAAAGAATTTTGTCCAATAATGAAATGCAACTATTGATAGAGCGTGCTGTGTCCATAAAAACCCATTTTGTTACGCAAGATCCTTTCGATAAAGGAGTTCGAAAGGCGCTAAACTTTGGACATACGATTGGACATGCTATCGAAAGCCATTATCTCTCAACATCAGCACCATTATTGCATGGTGAAGCGGTTGCCATTGGATTAATTGCAGAATCGTATATTTCATTCTGTAAGGGGAAAATTTCAGAAAACGAATTGACAATTATTGTTAGTACAATTCACAATCGAATATCGCTTTCTCTCATTTATTCAGAAGAATTTGAATCGATTTACCTCCGTTCTCTTCAAGATAAGAAAAACACTACAACTATCAATTGTGTTTTACTCCATGGTATTGGTCGATTTGAACTCGATGTACCCATCAATAGAGAGGAGATTATGCTATCTTTAAACCATTATAATACGAGTTGTGAGCAATACACTAAGTAACTTAAATAGTAGTTCATCGCATTATATTGCAACCATTCAACTTCCTGCTTCTAAGAGTGAATCGAATAGGCTGTTAATCTTACAAGCTTTGAGTGGGGCGAATTTGAAAATTGTAAATTTTTCCACCGCTAACGATACCCTTTTACTTCAGAAAGCACTGAATTCTAAAAGTCTGATTGTAAATATTGACGATGCAGGAACAGCTATGCGTTTTCTTACTTCTTTTTATGCCATGCGCAATGAGCATAAAATCGTGAAGGGCACTGAACGTATGCATAAACGCCCTGTTCACGATTTAGTGGAAGCGCTACATCAAATTGGATTTCGCATTAACTATCTTGGCCAACCTGGATTTCCACCTATTGAAATCATTCCGGTAAACCTTGTTTCCTTAAACAACAAAGTCACTATTGATGGTTCAATTAGTAGCCAATTTATTAGTTCGTTGATTATGATTGGAGCTTCTTTGCCAAATGGTTTGGAGATTACCATTACCGGAGAAGTTGCGTCTAAGCCATACATTTTGCTTACCGCTGCATTAATGCGCAAAGCCGGAATTGAATCATCAATTAACTTTCCCGTAATTACCATCGCTAAACAAGAATACAAAACTACCGTATTGAGCGCTGGTGACGATTGGACCAACGCTAGTTACTGGTATTCCTTTGTTGCAATCAGTCATTCTACTGAACTTATTTTAGAAGGTTT